CGGACTACTTAAATTAGGCACTCAAAAGGTGCACGTGTGGCTTGATGTACCATCGTTGTAATTGTGTATAAAACACCATTTCAAATTCTAATAAAAGCTTTCAGGCCAAAGAGGTCTCCTTAACTCTAAAAAAATAAAAAATAAAAAATAATTTAATATATAATACTTAATTTATTATTATAAAAAAAACTAAGAAAATAACTTACATTTGAAATATTTTTTATAGCTTTATTAACTTTTGACATGGTATCATAAAATTCTTCAGCACCTTTTCCTTCTTTTGCTAAATTATACATTCTTAATAGTTTTGCCTTCTATAAAAAAAAAAGGGCTCATTATTTCATCACTACTAAATAAATCACAATAATATTTATAATAATATTATCAGAAAAATATGATACAACTGGCAAAGATATATTTAAAATACAGTGCTCGGCCAGTGTATTTGAATATAGCAAAACAAAGATGGTGAGGATATATTTATGCTCCGGAAACATAAATATAGAGCCCAGCCACCATGTTTCTTTGGTGAGGATATAATATAGAGCCCAGCCATTTACCTCACTCATATGTCATCATTTGAATACATTTTTCATTTTTTTATAAATGCATAAATAATTCTCTTACCTTTGCCTCACTTATATTATGTGCTTTATTTCGTAAAGTTGCGATGCTTCTTTTCCAATCTGTAGTAAAGTTATTCACACAACCAAGAACAAATGCCAATAAAAACCTTAAACAAAACGCCAATAAAATAAATTTATATAACATAATCCCCTGTCGCACTAAGTGTCACTCATTATTATTTTTACACGTGATACATATTTATAATAATCATATTGTGACCGGAAATCTTCCCATGAAAGATTCCCGGTCTCATATTGATCATCGGGAAACTTTAATTTTTTACGCTTAATTTTTTATTTGAAGAATATTCTTTTTTGTATGCTCACGTTTTATATAAAGAGCTTAAAAGCCAAAGTAAATAAACACAGTAAAATGAAGCTACAAAAAAGACACGACAAGAGCAAAGTGAAAGTAAGAGCTTGAAAAAGGTTAAACGTAGAAGTAAAAAGCAAAGGTGATACAAAAAGTAAAACAGTAAATAAAAAAAATAAAGCGAAGCCCAAAGCACAATACATAAATAATATGGAACACGTGTAAAAATAATAGTATGGTAGTCCGATTAATATCTAGTAACACGCTCCTGGGGATTATTCATTTATTTCCTGGGAAGGAAATTATAGCAGAGGTTACCGATAATCATAGTACGTGGATGGCCCTTCGGGCCATCCATGTGCTATGATCGTAGGTAACCTCCCCCAGGAAATAAATAATGCAAGTTTTTTGTCCCTGAGGATAGAAATAATCACATGAGTATGGCCTAATTTATTGGCCAGAGCGTAGCGACGGACCTATCTTTTATATATATATAATCAGTGTTATTATAAACTTTTTTCTTGAAGTTTTTGTTTTTAGTACTGTAATATTGTAAAATAACGAATAAAAATTGTGTAATTTGGTTGATTAACAATCACGTGTAGATTTGCAAATCGATCCAAAAACTAGCCAATCAGACAAAATATTATTTATTGTAAATTTTCAATAATATTAGCTGGCAGTATTAAGCTAGTGTTATTGCTCCGCAGGTTCGAACCGAGGTCCGAATCTGAAGCGTCAGATCGGCTCGGATTATATAAAAGCAAAATTTTTCGGACATCACTAACTTACTACACTTTGGGAACTCCTACAGGGAGATCCTCAAAATTCCGGGTCGGAAGGGCCGGAGTTGATCAATTTTGACCCAAGATCACTAAGAATTTTACTAATGAAACAATAGTCGTTCATTAAGTGAAAAGTGCCCAGCTGATAATTTTACTATAGCCTATAGCTCCTGCTAACCCTAACCCTAACCCGACCCTAACAACGACGTATTCCAGTCATTACGACCCGGAAATTTTGGGATCCCCCTGTAGAAAATCACTTTGGGGCCGTCCTGGCTAACTCAATGAGTAGAGATGTTAATCGGTCCTTTAGGATCGAGTCCTAACCGGTCCTGTCCGATCCTTCAAGGATCAGATCCTTAAATCACATGAAAACACAATACATTTTACAGTTTTATGACTTAGATCCCGAATTGAATTATTATAACAATACAAAATTAATTTGATTGGATGGACTTATTTGATGGATTCGATGATACAGGATCTAAGTCCTATAAAATGTATTATGTTTCATGTGATCTAAGGACCGTCTTTTTAGATCCTAGGATCGGACCAGGGTTGAAAATACTATAGTGATTTGCCGGCCATTTACTGCGTCGATGCTTATTGTTTGAAGTATCTTTTTTGATACATCACTATCGAATAAAAATATATTATAAATATACCATAGATCAATAATGATACTTTTTGGATGGCCGGCAAATTACTATGGTATTTTCAACCCTGGATCGGACCGGACTGGATTCGCAATTTAACATCCCTAACATTGAGACTAAAACCATTGATAATAATATGTAATTCATATTTATTAATGACATTAATAAAGATAATAAATTTAATACTCTACTAAAATTGTTCATTTTTGCGATAGTGTCAAAATGGTATAAAATTAGCAAAATTTAATAGTACTATATGATAATATAAGCAAATTGAAAAGGTTTTTAATACTGTATAAAATTGCAAATGTAATTTCTTACTAAACTTTTACTAGATAATCATAAATAACCACATTAGGCTTTAAATATTTTCATGTTTTGTTAAAAATTTCTGTGGATTGTGTCGATAAGTAATGAGCATTTTACAAAATTTTATAATACTATTATAATGATTACAATTACTTCAGAAAAAATTAATATTATTTGGATAAAATAAATACATTACTGTAAATATATACAGTAATTCAAAAAGAATGTACGTATTCACACAAAATTATAAAACAAATTTATCCCATATATAGAGTATTATTGTATGTATGGATTGTAATTGTTTACTTTGTACTAAATACATATTTAAATACGTAGAATTATAGAGTTATTCATTTATATTCGGATTTAACCAATTTAGTCATTAGATCCGGATATATGTGTAAAATCTGGATTTAAATATGCAGGCACATTACCGTTACCCACTTACGAAACTTTTTTTAGAAAATATTGTTAAATCCGGATCCAACATGAGATCCAACAATTAATCCGGATTAAATGATTAAATCCGGATCTAACTCTAAGTAGAATAATAAATTTGAACAAATAAAGAGATATTGACCTGCATAAGAAATTAATTCAACCAATACATAAAAATTTATATAGAGCTATATAAAAAAAATGTAAAAAGCATCATACTATATCAGATGTATGAATTAGTGCTATCTCGTATATTGTAAAAGTCGAAGGTACCAATCAGGGCTTAAAATCACAGTAATTTGCCGGTCTGCAGCGAAATTATAGCAGATCAGTATAGTACAGGCCAATTTTTAAAAATATACTATACGGATCTGCAAAATTATAGAAACTAACGCTCATATATATAATACCTGGTCCGTATAGTATAGATTTAAAAATCGGCCTATACTATACTAATCTGCCCACCTATACTATACTGATCTGGTCTGCAGCCTACTGTTTAAAGTGTTTTTCTTGATTCATCAAAATTAGCGTATTGTACATCTTATTGTTTACGATACCAGTCACTTAATTTCCAATACATTATAAATCAAGAATGACACTTTTGAATAGCCGGCATTTCAATATAGCCCTGGTACCAATCGGTGTGGTCCAGTCCAAATCTCCAAAATCTACTATATTCAGATATATATTCTATATAGTATATATAACATAAAAGGCGATCGGAAATATATATTGTATATAGCATATATAAGAAAAGATATATTAAAAATAGTAGAAAAACTTAGTAATTTATCACTACGAAAAAAAAGTATTTATAACTTGTAACTCGTCTAGAGTACTAACTTCGAAAACATTATTCTCCTTATGTAACAATACCGCAAATTATATATAGATTTTTTTTGGTTATGAAAAAAGCTCTTTATTACATTAAAATATATTATTCGCCGAACCCTCCTGTGAAATTTCAATAAACAGATTAATATGTAGAATATCGAGAAGATACAAATTGAAATATATAAGAAATCGCCATATTTCAAATTGTATCTCCTCGATAGTCTACATATTAATCCATTTAGAAATTTTATAAGTTCAGTGAATATTATATTTTAATGTAATAGAGTTTTTTTTTTCATAAACTAAAAAATAATGAATTATCACATTTGTACTAATAATAAAAATATTGCGAAAATAGCCATAAGTTTAAGTTTTTTTATTGGTTTCTTGGTTATGAAAAAAATCTATTACATTAAAATATACTATCCACTGAACTCTGATGCAAATTTTCTTAATAGATTAATATGTAGACTATCGAGGATAAATATGGCGATTTCTTATATATTTCAATTTGTATTTTCTCGATATTCTACATATTAATCTGTTTAGAAATTTACATGAGGGTTCAGTGGATAGTATATTTTAATGTATCAAAAAAAAAAATTAATAAAAAGGTTAGGATTTTATCGAAATTAAACTGTTTGCACAGTATTTTACACATGTTACACGAAAATTTTTATGATTTACATAATACATTGGGCATTCCGCCAAATAAGGAAATTAAATAAAGATGAAAATTTGGTGCACATTAAAACAAATTATTCCATATTCCCAATTTGTGCTCATGTTTAATGAGCACGGGCTTTGAGTGTTGTTTTTTTAGAATTTTAAACTAATAAAATTTAGGATCTGAGGAACTTCAAAGGTTGATAAGTTTTGATTAGCGAATAATATTATCTCTGAAAAATTCACAACGTTTCAATAAAACCCAGATTTCAGATTTCGATTGAGTCTAATTAACACAAAGAAAGTAAGTAGTGTTTCGAAAAGATCTATCCCTGAGTAATTAGAAGTGAAGTCTCATTCCATTTACTGTTGTTTACTAATTGTTACTCTGTTATTGGTTTTATTTTTATTTGAGTATAAACGTCGTATTGTTGTATTCTATGAAGTCGTGACTGCTAAACCTTTACCCACAACTATAGGAGTTAGCCCATGTCCGTGACTCTAATCGGACAGCTCTTCCAATTTTATAGTTACACCCTGCCAAAACTGATATACGAGATGGAAAAGATTAGAGATTTAATAACTATATCAGAAACAAATTTATACTATAATTATACTTAATTAATCATTTAATTTATTATTATATTATTACTTTATTAATTTATTAATTTCATTTAGATTTTTCAAGTCTGAGCAGATACAAAAATGGAAGATGCAGAAATAGATAATCGATTCAAATAAATGAATAAGGTCAATTCAAGGATAAAATAAAAAGGTCGATTCAAATACAATGAATAAAAAAAAAAAGATCGATTCAAATATAATTAAATAAACACGAAACATTAAAAGAACTAATTAAATTTATTGTCGCGGCTGATGCTGAAATTTGGGCCTCGATATGAAAATATAAACCCTACTAAAGCTCACATATTTTCTTAAATTATCAATCCTAAATCATAACCCAACTCTAAAAAACAAGCACCAAAAAAATTTTAAAATTTCGTGTAAAAATATGTTTAAATTTCAGCATCAACCGTGACATTTATTTATTATCCTGACGCGTTTTCACCTGAATAAACACTCACATCTTGGGTTAAGTTTGATGTGATCTAAATTGCGCAAAGAGAAAATATAACTTATTCCAATTAAAATATACATAATGAATTTGTCAGTTCAACAAATAATAATAATTACAATTGGAGATTAATTTTACTTAGGCTGAAGATAGCTTCTTTTTTTTTTTTTTTTAACTTTTGTATAATTACCGCAGGACTCTGTAAGATAGTTATTGTAAAAGTATTAGGGAATTAACACTTATTACGTAAATATAACCTCCCCCATTTGACAATTGCAAACTCTAATGTAATCAATTTTATCAATTTGATTACATTAGAATTTGTAATTGTCAAATGGGGAGGTTATATTTACGTAATAAGTGTTAGTTTGTTAAAACTGGTGGCACTAGTTTAGGGAAATCATGTGTATTTGATTATAACAAAATAATGACACAAACTTGACGGACAGTTATTGTAATACTAATCTAATCGTTATTTTCAGTACAATCTATTTTCTTAAAAATTGGTGATTTGAAAGGACTTCATTCAATGTTATTATTTGATGCACTTGACCAGTGTTTCGGCCTAAACCGAAACTTTCTGCCGGCGAAACCTCTGAAATGGGCGAAACTTCCAATACTTCCGAAACAAACAGCCAATAAAATACGAAAATTTTCAGATCACGTGAAAACACATGCATAAATAAGCACCGATACTAGGCGAAACTTCCGAAATTGGGCGAACCCTCCGAAATTGGGAGAAACTAAATCAATGAACGTAAAATACGAGCAAGTCAGAGAGAAAAAAGATCCTAAAGTTTCCGAAAGATTGAAAGATGGAGGGTTTGGAAGGTTGAGTTCAGAAGGTTTCGACCATTTCGGAGGTTTCGGATTTCGAAACTCCAGGGCCGAAACGTTTCGGATTTTGCGGGGAGGTTTAGGCCGAAGCACTTTACTTGACCACATTTTACACATTTTATTACGGAAATGGTCTATAAGTGTCACTTTAAGTATTACGTAAATAAAATTGCGACATACTTTCCCTATTTAGGCAAAAAAACAATAGCTTTTCTATGTAATAAAGTTTACGTAACAAACAAAGTTACCATAAGCTTTAAGTAGTCCACTGCACAATAAATACGATGCTAGGTGAGATAAAATACTCTCATGTTGCCAAATGAATCAACATTGCTCTTATAAAATTCGAAATCAATGACAAATAATATAAATAAAAATTTAATATGGTGTCATATCATAATTGTCTTTGTCATTTTAATGATAAGACACAGCGAAGCAGAAGTAATTAATTACGATTTATCTGAATATGGAAGTCTATATTATGCGAATAATTACGATGATGGAACAATGTTAATATGTTCCTCAAAACTGGATGGTGTATATATTGGTCTTATTTATCCAAATGGAAGCAAAATTTCTGTAGATTATGAGAACGGCATAAATTTTAAAAATACAAGTTCCTGGAAATTAATAGGGTGTTGGCCTTCGGCAACAAATTATATACTTCTGCTTTATTATAATCATTCTGATCCAATAACTAATACTACTTTACGAGGAACTATTTTAAATTATAAAGGTGAAATAACAACAAAGTAAGCATATTTTTATCATATCAATAATAAAGGAGGAGAACGAGCCAGCTCAAAACACTGATCACATGATAATTTACCATGAGACCAGTGTTTTGAAAGATGGCCCGGATTAATTTCTAAAAAAAAACGAAAAAGCCCGTTCTCCACCTAATCAATAGATTAATAGAGATTTTATGATATATATTTTGTATCAATATTATATTATCTACTCATTGCAATATAAATGACATAGATCAGATTGAATATGAAACATATACTTTAACTTTAGTTAATAAAATTGACAAATCTTTCGTAATGACACATCAAACTTCTGATTATCTAAATTGGACAAAATTTTCATTTTCGTAAGTTTATTATATAAAAATGTGTGCAATTACTTTTCATATTCTAACAGTTTTTAATATATATATATTATGTATTCTCTTGTCTATAAAAGTGATAATGGTACTGCAAGCCCAATATCCAATGGTTCTTTAACATCACCATTAAATGAATATGTGTTTTATTCTCAGAAGACATTTTCTAAAGTTGATGGTCAATATGCAATTGTCTATATTGTAACGGATAGATCAAAGTCTTCTGAATTTACTATTGATTATAACCGTTCTAAATTTTCCATGTATTTACATTTTATAAAAGATAGCACGGACCAATCATCAGAACAAATATTGCTTTATCAATATTATGATAGTCCATTGATAGACGTATTCTTAACCGATTGTGAGGCTGGCTTTAACTCATTAGGATTACAAAGCAATATTTGTTTTCTTACATATATTACCTTAGATGCTATGGAATACATAAAATTTGTACGATTCTCATCATCTGGTTCAATAATTCAAGAAGGTTTTCTTTCAACAAGGTCAAATACCTCTTTCCAAAATACTATTGTTGAATCTGTGTATTTTGGAATATTACCATATGGAGGCGCAATTGAATTCAACTTTACTTATTATAATAGTTCATTATATAATTTTAGTAGTATATTAACATTACAATTTCGATCCAATTTAAATACTATAAGTGATATATTATTTCAAACTATTAATGCAAATTTAGTGAGTCAAGGTATTTTCGACAACAATACTATATGGGTTGTATACAGTCCAAAAGTTAATACATTTAATAATAGTAAAATAACTACTATTGATATGGAACATATTTATAATGATTGTGCGTAAGTTTTTATATAATATATAATCATTAATATATAATAATTATTTACAATTATCTTCTTTTATCAGATGGTTATGAAAATGTCGCAATTTTGTCCTCTTATCCTACATTAAATATGACAATATCTTTGTCATATAATTCTCAAATTAATATCACTCTTTATGCTCCAATAGTTTTATCTGCTGGAAATATTTCTATTTATCAAACCGATAATTCAAATAATTTATTATTACGTCAGATTTATTCTGCTTCATCCTATTGTGAAGTTTATAATATTACAACCTTGTCTTGTCCAGTTTTATCCAGCACTTTTAATAAAAATTAATAGTGATTATATGATTATTGTTGATGATAATTTTGTCAGAGCATTATCTTTTAATGAACCTTTTTATGGAATTAAACAAGGTGTTTGGCAAGTGACAACTCCAAAATGTCTGTATTATGTTTTATTATTAACTTAATTAAATCCGATTACATAACTCATATTTTGTTGTTTATTTTTTAAGCATATAATTCTAAAGTCTCTGGTATGTAAATTTTTATTTATCATATTTTAATATAATATTTAATAGTATGCTTTTAAATATACCTGACAGTTATATTTATAAAATTATTTCCTTATATTTTTTATTTATAGATTCAACACAAGCCATTTTACGTCTAAATTCTGATGGTTTTTCTTACTTTTCAAATTATAATGAGACTCAATTTGATGATCTTTTACAACAAATAAAAGAAAGTATTCCTTTGATGAATGATCGTTTACAAATAACCCATAATATCCAACCTGATCCTTCAGATTTTTCCAAACTTCTGATTGAATTTTCAATTTCTAAAGCAAATGATCCCTTAAATGAGCCAAGTGTAGATAATATTATCAATGATTTAGAAAAAATAAATATATAAGTGCTTTATTTGACAAGAAGTTTATGGTGTTTCTTGATGATCAGTATGGATTTAAAGTTAAACGTATGTGGTTTTTTTTATTTGCATTATTATTATTATTAATATTTTAATATTTTTTAATATTTTATTACTATTATTTTATTATTTATTGCTAATAAAATTATAGCAAATCTTTGGGATGAAACTAAATATAAACTATTAGTTTTAGCAATTATTATAATAATACTAATAGTTATTTATTGTTTAGCTCAAAGATTTTATCCAAAGGTAAAAACTACATTTTATATTTTTAATTTTTATTTATTTATCTATCTATAGCTTTGATTTTTTAATATATATTTATGTAACATTTAGAGTCAAAACTATGCAATATTCAATTTGGTTTTTATAATTTTGGACTTGATTCTTGATTTATTTTTTCTAATAGTGAATGGATATGATGTTCCTTCTTTATTTATTCCATGGTATATAATTTTTATATTAATTATTTATTCTTTTTTTCTTATATTAATTATTAATTTTATTAAAATCTTTTATCAATAGTCTTGTTATTTTAATAGTGTCAATATCATTTAATCTTACTTTATCATTATATTTGGTTATTAATGAGATTCGATTCAATGAGGAATTTCAAAATTGGTTTACTAAAAAAGAAAAAATGGTTTCACTTTTTATAATAATTTCTAGTATTGATGTTGGAGTATTAACTTTTTTGTCTTCTAAATTTTTTGGATTACCTATTTTTTCAGCTCCATTATCTCATAAGGCTAAAAAATGGATTTTTTATATCACTATAGTGAATTTTGTTATTGAAGATATTCCACATACTATTATTCAGGTATGTTTTTTTTAGTATTTGTTATAATTACATCAAATACAATTATTAATTAATTAATGATTAACATTTTATCATAACAATAATAGATTATTTATCAAATAAGTGTTATTTTGTATACAATTATACCATTATTAACTTTAATTATATCTATTTTAGTTCTTATTTTAACATTGTAACAAGTATAATTCAATTTTGGGTTTACCGTAATACATAGTACAAATATTAATCGATATGAATCAAAATATTTTATTATATATTAAAATTATTAAATTATATGTTTTAAGCATAACGATAATAAATATTAAAATTATTAAATTATATGTTTTAAGCATAACGATAATAAATATAAAAATTATTAAATTATATGTTTTAAACATAACGATAATAAATATTAAAATTATTAAATTATATGTTTTAAGCATAATAAATAATATATAGTTATTTCTGGTACTATACCAGATTATTTCAATTTGAAACATTGGAACTATAATTGATTAAAAACAAGGTATGTTTATTAGATACAATCGATTAAATTTATATTTTTCATGATTTTTTATTTTGAAAATTAAAAGACAAAATAAATTATTATACAGCACAATGATGTTTACAAGCTTGAATGGATTATTTTAAAATGTAACGACTAGTAAACGATTTTTATATTCACAAACTAGATTAATGAAATTAAGATATAGTGTGATGTAAATATTATCAAACTTAAATAGCTTATTGATTAATAAGTGACTTCATATTCACACTGACTAGATTAATGTGAATTAAATTAATTAAATTACAATATAATAGATATTTTATTTTTAATTAAATTTCGAATAAACTTATCTATATAATCACATATTATTAATTATATTTCATTTCACCCATTTTTTGTTTCTTTTATTTGATATTCACATAACTCAAAAATCGGTGCTACTTCACCGACCTATGTACAGCCCATTTAGCTAATATCACATAGGGTTAGGGTTAGCATCTGATTAGTTGCATGATGTTAGTAAATGAGCTGTCAGTAAGGCGAAGGAAGCCCTCCAAAATCCGATAGTAAAGATTTGTGAACTTGAGTACTGTTGAACCTCCCCAAACCGATATGCATGGTAGACAGATTTTGTATCAGTATTGAGAGGTTATCAGATTTGAAAACATTATAAACTATTAGATTTATATAACGGAAATGGACTTGGTAGACTAAGATTTGATAGGTTATCAGTTTTGAGAGGATCGATTTTAGGAGGTTCAACAGTATATTATTTTAATTAATTGGCTAATAACAGATAAACAATTATAGTACGTACATACTAGGATGTAAATAGTCAACTATGTTAGATAACTATATAATATACACAGATTTTTCACGTTACATGAATTGAAAATCGATCGTTATCTTTATTGATACGCATCGATGTATAATTTATTGATAATGATAAATATATTTATTAAAATTCAAAACGATTCAACTCATTAAAAAAAGCAAAGAATTGCTTGGAAATCTTCACAGGCTGTTTATAAAGTGATAAAAAACAAAGCTATGTTCAAAGATTTTTTGTTAATATGTAAGTTTTGAGTGTTCGACTAATATGAATACATAAAAAATCTTGTATAATCAAGTGTAAACGAAAACTTTACTTAACTTTTGTGAAAAATGGAGCGTAACTTTTTAGAGATAGTCCTTATGAAGAGTTTTCACTTAAAAAAAGTTAAGTACAATGTTCAAGTGAATCTTTTAGAATTTTAAACATTTTCTTTATAATTTTAATTGATTTTAATTTCGCAAAGTATACTAATTAATACAGTAATAAATAGTGTTACGGGCAAAAGGTGGATCTACAAATTTGGGCACAGTAAACTTGTGATTAAAGAGCTAAATGTTCAGTTCTAGCAGATGAGGATTGTCGGCCGAATAGTCCAAACAAATAAACACGAAATATGAAGCGAACTATAAACGAAATATGAAGCGAATTAATAAAGAAAATAATTCGCTTTACAATATCGATAATTACTATTGTTTTTATTATTAATTAATCGATGATAACGTTTGGATTGATTTCCGGACAATCATATGATCATCCGGAGCACAACCTTCGGAATTTCCGTCTACATAAGACAATTTCTGGCTCGACTTTTCATTGGTCGTTACTTAGACAAATTTAAATTTCATTGGCTATTATATTTGAACCTCAGATTAAAAGAATATTGCCGAGGTTACATCACCCGCATCTAGCGAGCTGCCTTTATCATAAAGTCTATCTTTTATAGTATAGATTATCAATCATACGATTTACCCCGTAACAATAGTACATATTTAATATAGCACAATTTTTTTTTTAGCAAGTTAGTTATGTCAAAAAATTTTGCCTTTTCGTGTAACCCGAACTTTTGGACTAGGCAATAATGCTGAAATTTTGGTCACTAAATTTTGGCATGGCGTATCTAATTTTTTTCCGACGACTATCTTTCTATTAACGGAATTTTGCGGAGATATCACAATTATACAGGTTACGAAATTTCCGATTATCAAAAAATAGTTCCGAATTTTTTTAATTCTCCGGCATGAAGTTATGCTTGGGGCAGATCGGCTGATCGTTGACATTTTCGAACTCCTTCGGAAGTCATATACTTGATATCTTACTTTCTATCATATGTCATGTAGATCAGACTATTACACCTTACAAAAGTGTATATACAATATATAGTATATATATATTTGATATTATATAGTTTGCATGCAATAATTGGTTGGTAACCCAGTCGGCACGACCGGGTTATTGATTTATTATTGATTACGTAGTATAATAACGGTTTATTCAATGAGTTTACTATTTCAAGATCGTAGTTCACATGTACAATCACTTGATTGTCGTTCGATTGCGCGATTGTAAAGTGATTTTCTTAATGAAAATTAAAAATAAATAAAATATTTTATAATTTATGCTTTTCTTATATTCATATTCTTGTATTCTCAAAACAACACCTATATTCTTAAAAACAAATTTTATACGTACAATCGAACAATCAGACAACAATCGAGTGATTACGTGTGTCTGCAAAATTTGATCAAAAGATACATTTTGGAAACTGCGATAAATAAAAATGGGTAATCTATTTTGATCTTGTTATTAATGATAATCGCTGATTTCTTCACAGCAGACACCGTGTTATGACATGCCCTTAGGTCACGTCATAAGCATAATAATCAGTTATCATCAATAACATGATCAATAACAAGTACTTATTTATACATTATTTATACATTGGTTTATGAGGAGGTATCTATAGTTTACGTTAGACAAGTATTGTAAACAAATAGGGACTATCAGATATGAGCGTGCATTCACAATCATGAATTTCAATTCATTTGATTCATAATTAAAATCGAAATTCGCAATCATATAGTGAGTGTTATTTGTGTTTATCGCGGTTTGCGTCTTTTGATCAAATTTGTAGATTGATTAAAGTGCTTTTTTTGGCCAAAGATTCAAAATTATTTATTATTTTCATAAAATTTGTCAGCCATATCTATGCTCACTAAAAAATCATTATACACTTGAACAATCACTTGATTGTTGCGCGATTATACTGTATTAACCGCGATAATTTAAAAATTCTAATTTCTTTTTATATAATAAATAAATATAGTTGTTTATTTTATTAAGTGATTAACATAGAATAATTCGATAGTTTGATTTTAAATATATACTCTATTATGGTTTTATTTCACCATTCGTGTTTTTTATAAAAAAAAAAATTTCATTATGAAATTTTAGTGTAGTTATGTGTTATTTTAACTTGATATTATTGCTGTTTTCGAAATAGTTGAGAATAGCAATATTTACAAAAAAAAATTTTTTTGTGAATACCCGAAGAACATTGATCGATGCCTCACACAGAATTTACAATTACGTACGTGGCATCAATGTTCTAAACTAATCGGGTATTCGTAAAAAAGTTTTTTTTTTTGTAAATTCTGCTATTCTCAATTATTTCGAAACAACTATAATCCTAATGACATGCTTTATTACTTTGTTTCTTAGATTTCATTGTAAACCAAATTGGAAGCCCCAACGGAAAACGAATTGGAAGCCCCAACGAAAAACGAATTGGTAATTTAAATGGCGTTTGTTGAATAATCAGATGGTCTAGACTAAACGTTGAA